AAATTATAGACCGATCATGTCTTTGTCAGTGGGCAAACGTACAAAATCAGCAGGGGATCAAATACTTTTTTCCCTCACTGTATGTTATCACTGACCTCATAGTGAGAAAACATCCCTCCCCTCAGAAATAAACATAGGTGGACACATACACACACACACACAACACACACAGTCTTCACACACACACACACAGTCTTCACACACACACACACACACACACACACACACACACACACACAGCTATGTCTTACTATACTTGTGAGGACTTTTTGGGACCACCAATTGATTCCCATTCAAAATCCAAACACAAACCTCAGCCATTCTATAACCATTGCTACAGATATTATTTTACCCCAGTGAAATTCCACTCATTGCTTTATTATCCATATTTCTTTGTCTGTTGAGCTGTCTGTCTGTTGAGCTGTCTGTCTGTTGAGCTGTCTGTCTGTTGAGCTGTCTGTCTGTTGAGCTGTCTGTCTGTTGAGTCTGTCTGTCTGTTGAGCTGTCCTGTCTGTTTGAGCTGTCTGTCTGTTGAGCTGTCTGGTCGGTTGATGTCTGTCTGTTGAGCTGTCTGTCTGTTGAGCTGTCTGTCTGTGAGCTGTCTGTCTGTTGAGCTGTCTGTCTGTTGAGCTGTCTGTCTGTTGAGCTGTCTGTCTGTTGAGCTGTCTGTCTGTGAGCTGTCTGTCTGTGAGCTGTCTGTCTGTTGAGCTGTCTGTCTGTTGAGCTGTCTGTTGAGCTGTGGTCAGACAGACAGACAGACAGACAGACAGAAAGGCCGTATCTACAGCTGAGATCTGCTGAGAGGGGTTTTTCTTTTGTATTGACCTTAGACAAATACAAACATCAACTTGTATTAGGTATAGAGGTACATGTAGGTAATATAATACTGTGAGTGTTGATGATATACTAACAAAAGGTAGTTAACAAAGGGTATCATTGGAAACAATATCATTCCCATAATTGATAGATTCACATGGATCATTAACCAAACAAAGTTCATAGTGAATTATAGAATCTGAAGGGGCAACTTGTACTTTCCAGAAGACAGAGCGGGCCATAGGTACAGTAGGTCAATGTTGATCATGAATTCCTCCCTGTCTGTGTGTGTACAGGCTGCAGCATGCTCACACCTACTCCGGTTCAGCACCAAGCCAAATAACTTGACTGTCAGTCACACACATTCACACATGAGCATGGAGACACATTGTGGAAAGCATTCTGTGTATCACTGAGAGGAAGAAGCATTCGGAGAATCACAGTGAGTAGGCCTAACCAGCAGGCCTAACCAGCAGATAGTGACAGGGCAGGCACAAGCTCTGCTAGCTGGAGTAGTGCATCAGTACTCTTTTGTTTGTTTGTTAGAGTCTAGTACAGAAGTTGGAAATAGTTGCTGAACACAACTGGAATTAGCTACGGCTGTAATGTGGGGTTGAGAGGGTGAGAGGGTGAGAGAGAGAGAGAGAGAGAGAGAGAGAGAGAGAGAGAGAGAGAGAGCGAGAGAGAGAGAGAGAGAGAGAGAGCGAGAGCGATGAGAGCTAGATCTAGAGCGAGAGAATAGAGTACGCTAGCTCTATATCGTCTGCTCTCTCGATCTAGCTAGAATCTCGCATAGCGAGACTCTATATCTAGAGCGATCTCTCTCTCTCTCGCTCTCTCTAGAGATCTCTCTCTCTCCTCTCTCTCGCTCTCTCTCTCTCTCTCTTCTCTCTCTCTCTCTCTCTCTCTCTCTCTCTCTCTCTCTCCTCTCTCCTCGCTTCTCTCTCTATCTCTCTCTCTCTCTCTCTCTCTCTCCTCTCTCTCTACTCATCTTCTCGCTCTAGCTCTTCTCTACTCTCGCGCGCTTCTCTCCTCGCTCTCACTCTCCTCTTCATAATAACTATGTTCCTCTGTTAAACTATGTTGTATGTACACTCTTAAGAAAAGAACGCGCTAACTAGAACCTAAAAGGGTTCTTCGGCTCTCCCCATAGGAGAACCCTTTGGGGGAAAAAAATCAGTTCCAGGTAAAACCCTATTGGGTTCCATGTAGAACCCTTTTCCCCATAGCCCTGTGTCTTTCTATCCATATGCAGCCTGTACACACATGGTATGCTTGTTACAGTAGGTGTTCATAGGTTTTATGTGTGTGTGTGTGTGTGTAAGGGTGTTTGTTTATGAGTCTGTTGTATACTTACAGTATGTCCATATATGAGGGCATTAATCAGAGAGGCAACAAAGAGACCAAATATAACCCTGAAGGAGCTGCAAAGCTCCACAGCGGAGATTGGAGTATCTGTCCATAGGACCACTTTAAACCTTACACACCACAAAGCTGGGCTTTACGGAAGAGTGGCCAGAAAAAAGCCATTGCTTAAAGAAAAAAATAAGCAAACACGTTGGTGTTCGCCAATAGGCATGTGGGAGACTCCCCAAACATATGGAAGAAGGTACTCTGGTCAGATGAGACTCTGGAAAATTGAGCTTTTTGGCCATCAAGGACAACGCTATGTCTGGCGCAAACCCAACACCTCTCATCACCCTGAGAACACCATCCCCACAGTGAAGCATGGTGGTGGCAGCATCATGCTGTGGGGATGTTTTTCATCGGCAGGGACTGGGGAAACTGGTCAGAATTGAAGGAATGATGAATGGTGCTAAATACAGGGAAAGTCTTGAGGGAAACCTGTTTCAGTCTTCCAGAGATTTGAGACTGGGACGGAGGTTCACCTTCCAGCAGGACAATCACCCTAAGCATACTGCTAAAGCAACACTCAAGTGGTTTAAGGGGAAACATTTAAATGTCTTGAAATGGCTAGTCAAAGCCCAGACCTCAATCCAATTGAGAATCTGTGGTTTGACTTAAAGATTGCTGTACACCAGCAGAACCCATCCAACTTGAAGGAGCTGGAGCAGTTTTGTCTTGAAGAATGGGCAAAGATCCCTGTGGCTAGATGTGCCAAGTTTATAGAGACATACCCCAAGAGACTTGCAGCTGTAATTGCTGCAAAAGGTGGCTCTACAAAGTATTGACTTTGGGGGGGTGAATAATTATGCACGCTCAAGTTTTCTGTTTTTTTTTGTCTTATTTCTTGTTTGTTTCACAAATATTTTGCATCTTCAAAGTGGTAGGCATGTTGTGTAAATCAAATGATACAAAAATCAATTTTAATTCCAGGTTGTAAGGCAACAAAATAGGAAAAATGCCAAGGGGGTGAATACTTTCGCAAGCCACTGTATAACAATACATTCATGCCAAGCCACTGTATAACAATACATTCATGCCAAGCCACTGTATAACAATACATTCATGCCAAGCCACTGTATAACAATACATTCATGCCAAGCCACTGTATAACAATACATTCATGCCAAGCCACTGTATAACAATACATTCATGCCAAGCCACTGTATAACAATACATTCATGCCAAGCCACTGTATAACAATACATTCATGCCAAGCCACTGTATAACAATACATTCATGCCAAGCCACTGTATAACAATACATTCATGCCAAGCCACTGTATAACAATACATTCATGCCAAGCCACTGTATAACAATACATTCATGCCAAGCCACTATAACAATACATTCATGCCAAGCCACTGTATAACAATACATTCATGCCAAGCCACTATAACAATACATTCATGCCAAGCCACTGTATAACAATACATTCATGCCAAGCCACTGTATAACAATACATTCATGCCAAGCCACTATAACAATACATTCATGCCAAGCCACTATAACAATACATTCATGCTAATTGTGTTGCTGTACCATGCCAGGTGTGTTTCTCTGTGTTATCATTAGGGTTGCAAAAATACCCGTAATTTACGAAAGTTATCAGAATCTTCATTAATTTTGGTAATTAACAGAAAATCTATGGCAATCTATCGTAATTTTGGTAATTTATACTTTAATAACTTTTTTTTAAATGTATTATTCATATACAGTATAGTATTAATTTTGTTTAAATGTGTCCATATTGTCCATTCGTTTCTAGTAGTTAGACCACGTGGTTCAAGAGAAAACAGCCCAATTAATGAAAAAAGCATCTAATCAACAATGCCTTTATTTTCAATTAACTCTGCAACTCTTCCAACTATTGAAATTTTTTCACAACTGCCACTAGTTTGACGCCAAAACATTGACAGAAAAATACATATTGTCATAGTAAAATAAATAAATATAAAATATATTTCATGCTGAAACCCTCATATTAAACACCATTGGTGTTCACTAAATTGATGGTTTATATTTAGGATTATGTTTTACAGCTTTGTCATTCAATTTTCAATTTTCAAATCATCTGATTCAATTATTTCATATATAAAACTACATAGATGGCCAGAGATTATTACAGACGCTTGTGATAATCTGAAGTACCCAAAAGGGCCACTAGATGTCTTGTGATAGATACCAAAATTCGGGTAGTTTATTGGTAAACTTTGAACGTTTCCAGTAATATACCCTCCCTTTGCAACCCTAGTTATCATATCCTGTTGCAATGCTCGGGATCTATCAAAATAGGACAATAACTTCTCAATGGATCGCTAACTAACTTAAAGGCTCAAAGTGCTCTCCTTGGGATCCAAACCTGTTGGAACAGCTCGGACATCAATCACTATCTCCTCGTCCATGCCTCGTGAAAAGGACAAAACACCCCTCTTCCTCCACTCCTCCCTCTCTTATCTTGGCATTTAGGAAAGACACATATGAAGGAATTATGGGTATTATGCCAAAATGAGCTTCAGCTTCCAGCTGCGGCATTCATGCATTTAGCAGCAAGTAAACAGAGACATTGGTACCCTCTTTAGTCATAGCTTTAGTGTGAAGAGTTATACACGTGGCTAGTACAGATTATCTTTACTATCACACTTTAGCTTCTCTCTCTCTCTCTCTCTCTCTCTCTCTCTCTCTCTCTCTCTCTCTCTCGCTCTCTGTGTGTGTTTGTGTGTGTGTGGGTGCATATTAGTAAACCTCTGTATCCTCCTCAGATCTGTTTATGAACAAAGATGTCTACCTTCGCCAACCATTCAACCAATGAGAGCAGCGGGCACAACTGGCGCTGTCACTTCAAGGAGGACATCAAGTACATCCTGCTTCCTGTCAGCTACACTCTGGTCTTCGTGATTGGCCTAGCCCTGAACTTCACGGCCATGTACGTGATTCTGTTCCGTACGAAACGCTGGAAGCCCTCCACGGTGTACATGTTCAACCTGACAGTGTGTGACATCCTCTACATCCTCACCCTACCCTTCCTAATCTACTACTACGCAGACGAGAACGACTGGCCCTTCAGCGAGCCGTTCTGCAAACTCATCCGCTTCCTGTTCTACGCTAACCTCTATGGTTCCATCCTGTTCCTGTGCTGCATCAGCCTGCACCGCTTTCTGGGCGTGTGTTACCCGATGAGGTCACTGAGCTGGGTCAGCGCCAGGAGAGCCCGGTTGGTGTCTGTGGTGGTGTGGGCGTGTGTGTTGATGTGCCAGGCTCCCGTGCTCTACTTCTCACGCATCAGGAACGAGGGGACGGAGAGGGTGTGTTTCGACACCACCAGTCCAGAGTTATTTCATGACTTCCTGGTGTACAGCTTGGTGGTGTCTGTGCTGATGTTTGCCTTCCCCTTCATGGTGGTGATGGTGTGTTATGGACTGATGGTGAGGAAGCTTCTGGAACCCACCTTGGGGGCAGGAGGGATCCAGTCGAGGGGAGCGGGGGGTGGAGCTGCTCATCGCTCCAAACAGAAGTCTGTGAAGATGATCATCATCGTGTTAGCGGCGTTCATGCTGTGTTTCTTACCCTTCCACCTGACCAGAAGCCTGCACTACTCCCTCAAATACCTGGAGCAGATGGACTCCTCCCAGGTACAGTACCACAACCACTGGAACACTACGCTTTTTAAAGGCTCTGCCTGGCTCTCCCTTTCACCCAAGGTGCAGGAGCCTGGCTCCAGGTAGCTTCACCATTCACCCAAGGTGCAGGAGCCTGGCTCCAGGTAGCTTCACCATTCACCCAAGGTGCAGGAGCCTGGCTCCAGGTAGCTTCACCATTCACCCAAGGTGCAGGAGCCTGGCTCCAGGTAGCTTCACCATTCACCCAAGGTGCAGGAGCCTGGCTCCAGGTAGCTTCACCATTCACCCAAGGTGCAGGAGCCTGGCTCCAGGTAGCTTCACCATTCACCCAAGGTGCAGGAGCCTGGTTCCAGGTAACTCAGGCACTGCTATTATGATTGTTGATATTGTCATTATCCTTGACATTTAAAGGTAATTTCCATATCGAGAGGATATCTGCAGCATTTACCTTGAATGCGATCTCCGCGAACGCGGTAACATTGCCTTTAAAAGGCACATTGTCAACAGCGTTACATGGATTGAATTGCGGCCTTAACCTTTCAATAATTGTTTCTTGTAATTATCCCCAGGTGAGCTGTGAGCTGCTGAAGGCGTCCAGTCTGGCCTATATGGTGACCCGCCCCCTGGCCAGCGCCAACAGCTGTGTGGATCCCATCCTCTACTTCATGGCTGGGCAGGGTTTCCGTAGTAACCTCTCCAACAAAAGTCAGAGCATTGCCAAGGAAACCAGGAAGCGTGACGGCAGCCGCTTCGAAGCAGGTCTGACCGTCAGGAGGGTCAATCTATGTGCTGAATAGCTATGGAACACAGTGTGAACTCCATTGGAATGGATAAAACCCCATTGGACAAACACACTGGATGGATGACTCACTCCTCTAAACTGAATATTACTAGCCCATATTATTAGACTGTTTGAAAGAGAATTCATGTAATGTATAGGCCAAACAAAGTGGGCATATTTTATTGAATGTTTTACAATATAAATACCAGATTTCTTACTTGAAAGTGGAATACAATAACTCATTGATTGAGATCTGACTTAGCTAAGGAAGCTAAAGGCAGGGAGAAATACATTGGTTGATGCTGACAGTGTAGAGAGAATATATTCTGTAGTAACATGTTAGTGATGTTAGTGATATTGTAATCACAATAAACAGTAATTATATATTTAGGAGCCACTGATTGTAGTGTATCTAACAAACATATCTTCAGGATTACATACACCACACACATACTGTAAGTCAGTCTTAAGAGGACCTCCTCTTGAGAGCATTCATAGAAAGCTGTTCAGCCCCAGGCATGACTTGGGCAGGTTCTAGGGTGTGTCAGGAAAGTCATTCATTAACATCCCAAAGACTCACAGATGGAGCTGGATATATTCCAGTCAGAGAGCGTAATAGAAGCAACACAGCCTCACTGCTGGCCGGCACAACTACAAATTAATAAGAAAAAACTCATGCTTAACCCATAAGAGTCTAAACCCTGTGTAAGCCGGGGGGAGGGGGGAGGGGGGGGAGGGGGGGGGGGGGGGGGGGGGGTGCTTAGACAGGGCATGAAATAACAGATTCACTACATGGAACAACAGATAGTCCCCCACAAAAAAATCTAAAGGAAGTTTGTTCTGAAGTGTCTGTCATATATCTGAGAGATATAAGATCAGGAAACATTTGTTTGTATTTTTTTTTTTTTACATGTATTTAAGCCCTTATTTTTGGCACTAGTCTCCATATATACTTCCATAAATCTTTTCAACTTTGGGATGTTACCTTCAGAAGAGTCTTGTGAGGCCTGTGGGCATCCTAGGGCAAAACAACCGACATGTACTGTACGTGTTCGTGAGAGTCTCACCTTTGAGTGTGTAGCCCAAACTGTTTGGACGCTACAGACAGAAGTTGGCAGATCGGCTGTACCGACTTCAAACGAGTCCCAAGATGCTTGTGGGGGTCATAGAGAAAAACGGAGAACACCATCGTGTTTGTGAGAGTCTCATCTTTCCATTTATTTAACACTTAACATCCTGTCAATTTACTGTGCTGATAGTGGATCAGTGTTTGTCAACTTCATCCATGTTTGATCAATTTTTGTCGACAGCCTTTATTTTTTTTTTGCAAACTCAGAGTCATTGTAATTTAACAAACATACAGACTCACGCACACACGTTTACCACTGAGTGTTCATGCATTATAAACACAAAGCACACACAGATGACTCCAAATAAACCGCTCCTTTATTTCAAGAGTAAAAATATCATACAGAAAAATGTAATATCATAATAAATACAATCTACAATGTAGAGAAGATGAGTTGTTTTCCCTTCTTTTCTGCAACACTTCAGTTTATAACATGTCATAATAAAACAGGTCAGATAAAAACATGGAAATGTTCAACCAAGAAAAATTATCAAATCCAGACAATGGTTCTGAACCGCAAAAACAGCAACATACAGAACATCAAATAATAGTTAAAATTGATCATAATCATCATCATTATCCAGCTTTTATAAAATGTAAACTGCAAAACCCAAACTGTGTTTCCACAGTGAAGCAGCTATGTCAGCCACTACTCGAACATCTATTTAAATAACTAAAAAACTGAAGTAAAAACACTTGAAATGCAGCTGAGGGAATGCGATTGAGATGGTCAGTCATGATTTGTTCAAAGTCAAAGTATTCCTATGATAATGTAGTTAGTTCCCTTTGCGAATACAGCTTTTACTCAGATTACCCAGAGATGATAGTGTCTGTCTGCATGCTGCGAATACAGCTTTTACTCAGATTACCCAGAGATGATAGTGTCTGTCTGCATGCTGCGAATACAGCTTTTACTCAGATTACCCAGAGATGATAGTGTCTGTCTGCATGCTGCGAATACAGCTTTTACTCAGATTACCCAGAGATGATAGTGTCTGTCTGTCTGCTCTCCTTGGAGGAGTAGGAACGTTTGTGTTTATGTGTTTGCGTGAGTGTAACAATAAGTAACAACACTTGAATGAAAAACTCTGAATAATGTGTCTGTCGTGCTTTATCTGTGGGGGCAAAGAGCTGAGTTGATTATCCTACTAACTTTGCCTATGTTTGTTGCTAGGCAATCGTCACATGGCAGGAAGTGAGGTCACGGTTTGAGATAAGTGCTACATGGTGTAGGATGCCACTGATCAATGGTCACTGTAGCTAGGAGGGTCAACTGATCCTAGATCTGTGACACGCCAGGCGAGAGGAAGTCACAGGACAAAGCACATCTCCCCCAAAAATGTCTGGGACTGACTTAAGTGTGTCAAAAGAGGCACTGAAAACTACTGGCAAACCCACATCCTGTCGCTGTCCTTACCCTGACTCTGTCCCTGACTCTGTCCCTGTCCGACCACCCTCTGTACACATCTAAGAGCTTAAATAAAAACAGGGCAGTTCCCCTGGTCTTTTCACGGCCCTATGTACATATATACAGTCATTTACACCGCACGTTACTACACATTCAACTGTAATCAGAAGCTAAATTGAGCTAAAGTGGAACTGACAGCTTTTTAACTACTACATGAAACAAACAGACAATCATAATATCAGTCAGCAATATCAAATTCCCAGTTTATGCTACAAAACCAACTTTATGAGGTTTTAAAAATAGGTTCTACTTGACTCAACATTCCATGACGTACAGTAAGGCATTGTTGGCAGAATAGATGGATGCAGTTCAATGCATGATTAATATAATTCACCAATACATTTCTTGGTACATTGTTTGCTGCCTCCATTCGGGATGCACCGTTTCAGTTTCAATGACTCAATATTTTGGACAAAAACGGATGAATGTAACTAAGGCTGGGAATGTCAATATAATCAAACTAGCAATGGCAATGATCACAAGTCAATCATAACGTGGCTAATAGGCTAGGGTGTCTATTTATGTAGCAAGCTAAAAACTAGCTGTTAGGAGGATGTCATGTCATTGGAGGAGTGGGTGACTTTTTCCCCTCATATTGTTTTTCGGTGGCTACACAGCTAGAGATGAAGGTGTCATTTGGTTAGCTAGCAAGAAATGTGAATCGCTTTGCTAGCTAGCTATGCTGAACTTGAACGACTATTATCCAGTTAGCATATCTCTTGCGTTCGTTAATTCACTCGGGCTATCTACTCCAATTTCAGAGCACTCTCGTCTGAGTGTGCCAGAGTGCAGAATAACTGATTAATTTATGAACGCACAACACCGGCTGAATATGACCAGTGTCAGTAAACGTGGGCAAAAAAAGTAATAGGTAGTCACGAATGCTCTAGATAACATGTAAACAGCCTAGCTAACCAGCTCTGCTACGGCGAGTAAAATGGTCAGTGTGTTCTCTCATTTGTGTCTGGAAGTAGCTAGCTAGCAAGCTAGCGCACTTTAGCCAGTTAGCTTGGCTGCTTGGTTGGGACAAGCATGCATTGGCAGGCAAGCTGCAGAAGGACGAGCAGGCTACTTACTATTCCCCATCGTTTATCAGTGCAATTTTGACGATCAACTAGCGGAAAAAGTTTGAGGGGGTTTATCTAATGTTCCTTCGTTAGATTGTAGCTCATCTTGCTCTGGCTAGCATTAGTTGTTGATCTTGTTGTTGTTGATGTGCATAAACGGAAAGATTGCCTACCTTTTTATGGTTGTTTGATCATTAGGACTGTAATGTTCCCAGATGTAAGAGGACTCCCGTGGTATTGACATATTTGCAGAAATCAATGCAGGTGTATTTTGTGGCTTTTGCCAAATGCGTTCTAATGATCTAAAGTCTCGCTGTTGCAACTGCTTGTAAACACACAGTCCAGTTCAAAGTGAATGATGGCAGGTCTGTGTGGCAAATGGCTTGTTTGCATAAAGGCCTACTGTAGTTCTGATTGGCTATGACGCACTGGTCTGTGTAGACTCCGGTCCTGGACGAGACAGATGTTTTTATTAGGTTTTATTTACTGCAGTGTCTATTAATTGTCCAAACCTCTTTCCCACTCTATATTGTTATAGAATCTTCACAAATGCCTTACTGTACGTAATTATCAAACATTTTAAGAATTTATGAAAACATGAAAATGACCATATCTAAGTGCTCGCTTGTATCATATTCTTCCTGACGGTGTATATGAACCAATTTCAATAAGATTTAATGTTGCTAAAATGCTGTCAGTTCCACTTTAAATGCCATCTATAAGATCTAAAGAGTAAAACATGTTTTCAAG